TGTAAAAATTTCTGCTGATTAATACTGACTTTATGTAGGAAGCAGCTTTTCCTTCTGAAGGATGATTTTTTTTTTATTTTATTTTTGCTAGTTTGAAGAAATTCTGTTTATAAACTACACTTTTCAGTTTAGTTATTGAAATTGTGAAGAAACCAGTTTGAAAAGGCAATAGACCTAATGAACAATGCTTTGATGATGAGTGAAGTAAAATGACTTTACTTTGAGGGAACACTTTGCATTTTGTGAGTTAAGTAGAAGAGAAACGAAACTCACAATGTGCAACAATGTACCTATTTTCTAGTTTGTATTATTTAGAGTAGTTTGGAAGAGAAAAAGCAACTCTTTAACTCTGATAAGCCATTATGAGACAACTCAAATTAACTTCTGTCCAAGGAAATGCGAATGAAATGTGAAATCACTGAAATATTGTATTCACCACATTCAGAATCTGATTTTAATGTCCAAAAATCTAGTGTATGATTAGTGTCACTAGGCTGTAGATTTTTCTAGGGGGGAAAAATGCAAGTTATTGAAACATACTTTAAGTACTGAAAGTACAAATAACTTGGTAATGAGAAGTAGTGACAATGTTTTTGAGAATCTGGACATATTACTTTTTCACACTTTATTTTTTATAACTATCATTTCGCACAGTCTTAAACTTCAAACCCAAACCAGTGTGGGTTTAGAACCATCATTATGAGACAGAGGAGTAATTCATAAGAAATGGGTTTGCCATGATATGAGAAGCACGGAGGCAGAGGAAGGAAAAGGAAAGACTTTTTGACAGGGTACTTCTAGAAAACCAATTATTAGTGTCATAACCCCCTCTTATTAAAAAGAAACCAACTAGCCTTTTTCTTAAAAATTAAGATTTTTGTGGATTTGGTTTTTTGGAGGTTTTTATCACATATCATCATATCTAACACTGAAATGAGTTAACAGACTTCAAAAATAGGATATTGATTTTTCAACTATTTCAACAGCTGTCTTGCATCTGACTAGTAATGTAGAGACTGAGCATTTTTGTAACTTTTAGAAGCATTCTAAACACCATCTAAGAAGATAAACAAATCTTAAAGTCACCAAGAAGCTTATTTTGTGTAATCTTAGTAAACTCATCCAGAAAGTTCTTCTAATTCATGCCTCTTAGCTGAATTATCTGCAGCAAGATGTTTACTCAGCAGATAGAAAATTACTAGACCTAATGGGCAGAAGGCAAGCTTAGAAAAAGTGGCATTTTAAATGTGCATTTAGAAATATCCCTACATGTTTTAAGTTAGGCATCTGAAGTGCACCTCTACCTGGTAAAATCATAGTAGAAATTAATTTGTGAACAATCCGTAGTGTCAATCAAAATGTAGTCTGAAAGGAACCTCTAACTCCTGCTCAGAGTGGAAATAATTCCAAAATTAGAGATGTTTGTGCATGGCCTTGTTCAGCTTAGTTTTGAAGATCTCTAAGGATGGAGGTTCAAATCTTTGAGAAATCTTTTGCATTGCTTGATGAAACTGGATTTCCTCCCTCGCTTGTGACCTTTGGCCACTGCTTGCCCTATTACTCTGCACCCTGGAGAAGAGTTTGTCTCTGCTTTCGCTGTAATTTCCCACTAGAACTCAGTAGGCTGCGTTGAGATTCCCTCTCCTGCCCCTGCATCTCCTTACAAGTTACCTGATGGCCTCATTTTCACAACCACAAAAGCGGGTAACCCTGCCACCACAAGGCTACTCTGCTGGCACATGGCATGGCAGGCACTGGAGATGGTAATTTAGCACTCTGAAGGGATTACAGGATTCCAGCAGACTTGAATTTAGAAATTGACCTGAATTAATAGCAATGGCATAAATTTAAAATCTTCTACAATTTAGCTGGAAAATAACAGAATAATTTTTTTTTTCCTGCAACTATTCCACAGAATTTGCCTATCCAGAATTCTCATGTGATCACAGAGAGTATCTCCATTATTTCTGGTGGAATTAAAACTTAAGGATTCAAAAGGTGCTCCTCACATCATCAAGTCAAATCCTCTTTTAGGGCTATAATCCCAGAAACACATTTAGTAGAGTTTCTTGTAAAATCTAGCTCAGGCTTATGTTTCCGGTGCTTGCTCTAAGAAGTGTTTCCTCTACACTGATGGTTAGAAAAAACTATTTTAATTCTCAGACTAGATGTATTCAGCTCAAGTTTATAACCATTCGTAACTGTGCCAGTGTTGCCTTTTAACTGTAATAGCTCCTTATCCTCCCCAGTAATAACAGTCCTGGTGTATTTATAGATACATCCCTTCTTAGCCTTTCATTTCCTGGTTTCAAAAACTGAAAATCACAGAGTGCAACAGAGAATCTTTTCTAAAATGTTGTAGAACTGTATTAACCCGTCTTATGACTCCATCTGTTTAATGGTTCCCCTGCTGTCTCTCACCGGCTTTTACCTCACTCATTAAACACCTGACCTTACCACTTGCTTTTTTGCAATGTTGAGAGGTTTGATTTTGCCTCACATATGTTCTGAAAAGACTGTGACCACTGGAACAACAACACAGCAGTTTTATTTCACCCTCCTTTTCTCTTGGAAACTTCAAGTTACTCAAGTTTTGGGTGGGTTCCCCCCCCTCCCCTTGTCAGCTGCAAATAAAATAGATCTATGTGATAGATGAACAATATTCACCCATAAAGTTATTGATCCTGATTTTAAAAGCAGTTTTTAATGTTTTAAACACTGTGAACCATTTCTCTTAGTAGAAGAACCTGGAAGGGCGGATATGCAAGTGAGAGTCACAGCATCACTAGAATAAATTATGCAATATGGTGCAAAATCTATGGAACAGTTGTACAGAAATGTTCAACATGAGTTACAGAGAATTAATGATGTTTCCACAGCATGGATGCAAGAAAAAATCCCACCACCAAAAACTATGTGGTGAAGAGAATGTTAGAAAAGGACTAAATTAGATACTCCTTACTAATTATTTGTATTAATCTTTCAAATTAGTTGAAAAACTGTTCTGTATGAAAAGCTGTGAAAAACGATTAATTTCTAGGAAAACAGAGTTTGAATTAAGATACAGAAAGTGTGATTCTCCAGCTACTTTCTGCTTTTTTTTTTTCAATGCTGATAGGATATGCGCATTTTCTATTCCACATGATGTTAAAGAAAAGTATAATGAGGATGAAGACAGCAGAAAGCTTGAAGGGAGAGCACCATCATTACTGTTTAAATTAATTTTATGAATACATTTTCAAGTGACTTATCTACCTTTTAATTTAAGTATTTCTACTGGTATGAGGAATAGGCATATAAAGCAAGTTTCACTTTAAATGGTGGCAAAGTTGTGTCTTAGTATTAATAGACATCTGATGAAGTACCAGTATTAAGTGTAAAGGATTAGTTTTTTGAAATGCAGCTTGTAGTTTTAAAAACATTAATTTGGGGGGAGGGTAATTTTTTCTGCATTTTTTTGAAGTTGGGTTTTTCACAGTTTCAAAACTGGATTTTGTTTCTACTAAGCCTTAGCAGGTAATTCAAGGACACATTAATTAATCTCATCCTACAATGTGTAGTCATGCCTGTTAGCAGGAGAAAAAAGGGTTGTGGGTGTTTTTTAATATGCAAATCCCATGACTCCTCTGAAATTCATTTGTAAATGAACATTTTTCATTCAGACAAAATGGTTAAGGCTAAATTAAATAATATCGAGGACAAGGGATATCCTTACCTGACAAAGTCATGCACCCACTTAGAAATATAAATAGATCCAAATAGTCATCTATTGGATATAGACTTAAATCTACATCATGTTTTCCTAGTTACACATTTCATACATATATATTGTGTGTCTTGCTGCACTTGCAGGAAAATAATATTGGCTGGATATGAAGAACAGGGTCAATATTTCATTTGAAAAGGAGACTGTATCTGTTTTGACCAAGTGAAGTATTGGTCCTTTAAACATATTTTTACAATTTCAAAGTCCTGCATGGAGTTTTACTAAAAAAATCTTTCTCATCTTCTCTGAAAAAAAAAAAGATGGTGCTAAATGTTTACATAAGAAAGTATCTAACCCCCGGAGGAGCACACCTCTCAGGCTGATGACAGGTTAAAAGCAAAAGTAACTAGCCTTTAGCATTATGGTTTCTATCATAAAGAGAACACATGCAACTAACATGTGTTACTTGCAGATACCTGAGACATGGAGACTTATTATTCTGAAGCCCCTGCTATGCACCCCTGCTTTTGTGAACATTTTGATATTAATGTTAGGAGAGGCTAGGATTTTGCCTTTTGTACAAGATACAACAAAAAACCTACCCAAGCTCATGCTATTCTACCACAAGCCAGCTTGTTTGTCCACCAAAGCTAGGTGCCAAAATAAAACCCTGCTAAGTTTTAGATTTCAGAGGTGACAGACATCTTTCCTTTGCCCCATCAAGTTTTCATGTTAAATTTCCTTACTGGTATTGAATCACATCTGCTTGTATCAGCAAAACACATGGGCTACTCAATAGCTCACTAATATAAACTGATGAACACTGGTTTGCATGGAGCACAGCAAATGCAACCAACTAAAACCACCAGAGGTACTAACTGAGCTAACAAGATTTATGACTTCCTTTTCCTAGATATTTGATTTAATCTCCACTGGTAGATCTTACACAAATAATAGTCCAGCTGACACTGATTCTTGCCCTAAAGTAGTGAAAATGAAAGGTGTGAAACTAAACTCATAACTGTTTAAGTTCTTCCCTTGCATTTTCATTGTATGACTTCAACTACTATATCACTATATTTTTATTTCTAAATGTGAATATAAGCACATTGCTCCTCACCTCAAAATGCATAGTTTTAAGATCAAAAATTATATATGGAACTATTAGCAATGTAAAAATATGACCTATACTTTTTAAATATAGATTTTTTTTTCCTTCTTTCTTGTAAGAAATAAGCTTTGCAGCATTTCTGCTCTATATGTTAATATCTTACAGAAAGGCAATGACCTCCAGACAAATACACTGGCCATCAGACTGCAGAGACATTATGGTTTGCCTTGCTTTCCCTTTCTCTGTTCCTGTGAATTTTGAATTATCCTGTTTTTTCAGGAAAACACAACTTTAAGAGAAGCCAGTCACTTAGCTGCAGGGCACTCTCACCTGACCTGAGCCTTGGGCTTAGCCACCCTCTGGTTGATACAGATCTTTTCGTCTGCAGGTAATCACCCAGTCCATTGTCATGGTGTAAGAAGACAGGCAGCCACCTTCATACATATTTTGAAATAAAACATATTAGCTCTGTTCTTCAGAAAGAATTGTTCAAGATTACAGCTTTAACATAAAACTGTAGGCTGGAGGGTCCCAAAAAGGCAGAGGCACATCTGATAGTTCTGTATCAAGCACCCCAGCTCCACAGAGATGGGATTTTTCAAAACAGAATTTCCTCAGTGTTTCTTGTTCTTCAGTACAGGGTCCACTCTTGCTGAATAGCTCCTTTCTGAAGTGTCTGATGTTCCTGGGCCCTGAGATGCATCCTAGGGCTGAACAGTGAAAAACTAAAAAAAAGGTGGGTTTACTTTTTTAAATTTCCCTTTAGGTTATGGAAACAATCTGCTACCTGTAGAGGGGATTGGGATAACAGTGCAGGCATCAAACCCTCTGTGTCATGAGCATAGTGGTGGAGGCCTAAGTATGACAGAGATGAAAAACTCTTTTTTGTTTATTATGATGAGTATGTTAGTTGCAAATGCAATTAATACTGGATTAGTCAGCTCATACCCTTAGACATGTTTTGTGTTGCTTTACATTATGTTATCTATTAAATTTTCATCATTCCTGAGAGCATTTAAGTAGCATTTCTCTTCAGTTCCAACCTTTAGGCTGATTCTGAAAAACCTAAATTAATTTTCATATTAGCACATATTTATAATAAAATTAATATTGATACTACTCTTTCACAAATTCTTAATTTTATCTTAGTACATTATTGTTCCTTTTTTCCTGAACATCAGTCACAGACTTAAATTTCCCATATTATCAGTTTTTACAGAATATATAGGAGAAGTCCTTGAGAGAAAATACCTAGGAAGGAATATGTCAGATATTTCAGGTTCAAATTGCAACTAATACCCTGATAGTCCAAGTAATATTTTTTTACTTTGTAAAGAAAGGACATCATTCACTGATCATCATAGTATGTCTGGAGAAAAGCCCATTGCAATTTATCACAGACTGCCAAAAGCAGAAAATATATTTTAGACAGTGAAACAGCTGCATTTATGTCTAGAGGGGGCCAGATAAGAAAGCTTTTCACAGAAGAGATTTATAGAGATTGTGTTAGCTAAATGTTCAGGTCTGATCAAAATTAGTCCTGCACTTCCTGCTGGACACAATATTTTGCTCTGTCTACTATGATTTTCCCACAGGTACTCCATATATTTGTGGTGGATGCTAGCCCATAAAACACAATCCTGGTCAGGGGCAGTAACAGAGGCATCTCAGGGTCTCCTGAGCCAGCAGTGGTGGCTCAGCCTTGCATGCTTTATTCTTTGTCTTAGGAGTATGTGTTCTGAATAGCTAAAGCCATGCAATTTCAGGGTAAAATGTGTAGGCCACAGAAAGACAGCCTTACCATATTGAAACTGATAAAACTGTGGTAATCTATTTTCTAGGTTGTTTGCTACTTATTACTAAGTAATAATAAGTATTACTTAGTAATACTAAGTACTAAAACTAAGTACTAGCAATACTAGTAAACACTAGCAATAATAGTAATACTAAGTACTATTGCTTTATATATACTTTAGTATTTAGGTGCTCTAAAATATGCAGCTTTTTTTTGTGGGGGGATGTGTGGGGGGGTGTTTTTTGACCATAAAAAACATAAAAATTTTTTATTTGTGGCTCACAGCAGTCTAAGTGGCTTGCAACTCAAAGACATTAAATTAATTTTTCAGCTTTCTGTGTCCAGTCAACTGAGAAAATGATGCTCTGGAGCCCTTCAGTTCCTGTCTAGTCTGAAAACACTACATACAAGGAAGAAGAAATTAATTCCACTCCAGAAAACCCCTGACTGTTTTCTACTTCCTGCCAATAGCATCTTTATTTAAAGCAAAACAAACAACACCCTTAGTAAATGAAGGCATACATACATTAACAATAACAGATATTCAGCAAATATCCTGAATTAAAATGTACTAGATGTACATTGTATAATGTACTGGATGTGCACATACATACTTCTCTTAAATAGAGAATATAATTCTGCTACTTTTATATAATTTATGTATTAATAATGGTAATGAAAAGATGGAAGTAAGGGAAAGCATATTGGAAGAAGCTCTAATATATGCATGTAGCTTTGCTTGGCAGACTTACAAAGGGTTTTACTGACTTTGCAATAGTTATATGCATAAGCTCTTCAGGGACCTTGATCCTGAATTGCTCCACACCAACATAAAATTGTTACAGACACGAACTGTCACAGTGGAGCTCTCTATAAGAAAAGTCAAATAGGGATACACAAGTTATTTCTCAACTTTCTTGAAATTTACTTGCAATTTTTATGAGCAGCAAAGGTAGACTAGATATTCATTATCACATGGAAGTATAGAGCAACTGATCATAAAAGATCAAATGATCTAAAAGCAAAATACACTTTGTAGTAGCTTTATTCATGTTTTCTTTTTCTAGAACTAAACAGCAGATGTTCCAATTAATGTGATTTACTTCTTTTCCCCTTTTGTTGTTACAGCTTTTGAATCTTTTCTGGAACCAGAATTTTTTTTCCTTGAATCTTTCTGGAAACAAAAATTATATAATATAAACATATTATATGAAGCGTAATCAACAGCAAAGTTAAACTGAGGTAAGAAAATATTGCAAATATTTTAGTTATTTTAGTGAGAAAAAGAATGGTGATTGCATGGCCATAAATGCCATGAATTCCATTGCTACTGAATGAAGCAAATACCACTGTGTAGTTTACTTATATGGTGTCAGACCTTAAGTCTGCAAAATGAGACATCTCTCTTTCCCTGCCTCTCAAATGAGTAAAAACTGGTCTCCTATACCTTACAGGAAGTCTTCCAGGAGTTTAACTTCCAGATTGAGGGAAAAAGATGTAAAATAAAAAATTTAGCCTACTTAAAAAAACCTGCCTCTCTATATAGACAGAGAACAGGAGACTAGAGTTATGGACTCTGAAGCTAAAGGGATCATTAGATGTTAGCCTGGCTTTCTGTATACTACAGGTGTTTGGTTTTTTTTATTGTGTATAATTATTTCTTTTTTTCTGTACTTTTTTGTTGTCATTGAAAAAATATTCTTTGTGTTCACTGGTTGCTTTAATAATCATTCATTTGCACTTCTGCAATTTTTCTCTTCGAATTTACTAAATTTAGTAAATTTAAAAAATTAAATTTATATTTAAAAATAAATTAAATTTAAAATTAATTTAAAATAAATTTAAATTTACTAAAACTTACATGTTTAGCTTACTTGAGACTTGCAGTAATGTGAAGCTAAAGAGGTTACTTTATCGTTTTAATGGTAATTGCCTTTTTAAACACAGAATTTCCAAGGCAAATTAAAACAATTTTAGTGCCATATTTTTTCCTGTGTTATGACAAAATTATTTTCTAGCAGAGACTTAAAATCTCTGACAAATTCTGTTAGAAATATTTCACTTTGAGTCTTGTTTTTATTAACAATTTCTTTCCAAGATCTGTAAGTTACCTATTTTTTTTCATTAAATGTGCAGAACTTTTAGGTGTGATATTATCTTATCACTTATAAGTCTTCAGTACATTGTATCTACACGTTTATTGTCCTGATTTTTGTCTCTTTAAAAAATTAGGGTTTTTTGTAAAAAATATGATCTTAATTGACGTTAATCACACCCTTCAAGTTTAATTCTTTATTAAATGAATCCTCTACCAGCTCTTCTGTTTATTTTATCTGTGACAAATTTCACTTGACTAACCAGTAGGATCATCCTGTTGCATCATGGTAAACTAAGCATTATTCCAATCTTGGCATTTCCACTACCTTAAAGAAAAGGGGGGAAAAAAAAAGAAAAAAAAAAGAAAAAGATGCATGGATTTACAGGTTTATTCCTATTAATGCAGTTTAGCATACTCCCTAATTGCTATTCACAGAAAGGCTTCAGAAGGTACTCCTTCTGGGAACATCTTTAATTTCATTAGTATTTTCAAGAAAAAGTACCTAGAGTTGTTTATTAATTTTTTAACCACCAATTCATTAACAAATAATAAATTGACAAGTCAATGAAGCCTCTTACAACAACAGTGTAATTGCCTGTTTGTTTCATATTCTTGGCAATACAGGCAGTATAATCCCAGCTGTTTGAAGCATGAAAAGGTTTGATCTTTGCAAACTCCCACATTAGGAGTCTGAGAGCCGTGAGTGTGGAGCGGTGACATTTATAACTCTGTGTAGTGGCTATTGATTATTCTCGTATTTATGAGTTCATACAGGAGCAGATGTTAGTTGACATTTTTTGTTTAATCTCACAGACGTGCTGAAATTGCCCTTGGAGATTTGGGTGAATATGGAGAGGCATGTTACTATCAAAAACAGACACCACATGGAAACAAGCCAAGATTTCCAGTCTCAGAGAAGCATAGAAGAATCTTGGGCAATTTCTGATCAATCCAAGCTCATCATTACAAGAACTTTTAGGAATCTTGCTCTATTGTGTAAAGCCAGGGGCTTACCTCACTTGGTGTCTAATTGCAGGTCTAGCTCATTGAGCTCATGAAATAAAAGGTGAAAAATTATCTGTTTTTCACAAAGATATATTGCTATTTTTTCACATATACACTGAGAAAAACAAACACTAATGCTCCATCTAGACTCTAATCTCCTATATGGCCTTCAGTATGCTTCTCAGAGCCTCCCATCAGCATGCCAGCTCATAAAACCCACACATCTTCCAAATGGATTTGAGGTTTTTAATAAATCATTAGTCTAAATATTACATTTTACATGCCACTGGTTACACCTGGCCTTTTGTAGTTACTGAATGATTCATGGGCTGTTTGGAAGAACACACATATGCACACAAATATTTATAACTCTGTGTTTTGTTGAGAAAGGTTGTTGACCTCCTTCAATCAAGAAATTTTAATGCTTTGTGCTGACTTTCGATTTTATTGGTTGTTTAAGGTACAATCAAGGCTTGAATGGGATTTGAGATGGAGGCTGTGATCACCCAGTTGCAAAACTGAGTTCCTTGCCCTTTGGTGGTAACCTCTGTGTGTATACTATCTAACTACAAGCTCTAATCATGAAATTCCAGGAGTCTGTGGTGTATAACCTGTGGTGTTGGAGGAAGAGGCATATGGTTTCTGAGACCAGGATCTGAAGAGATACAACTTTTTCCTGACCATTTTGAAGACAGAGAGTTGAGGTCTCAAACAGTACAGTCTCTGTCTTGTAATGGATTTCTGGGTGGTTGCTCATGCAAGTATTGTCATTTAAGTCCACAGCATCACTAGGCACCCTGATGCTTTAAAGCCATCCCTGTTTACCATATTTTGGAACAACATGGTCTTCATGTCTGCATGAGTTCTTCAATGAGGTTTTCATGACTGCATTGAGTTTTTACGAAATGCTTTCAACACTGTTCTTCAGCAAGGGTAATAAACTTACATATATATTGTCATCATCTTACAGTTCTTGATGTTTGCAGAGCTATTCATTCCCACACGATTTGTAGCTGCATGAAGCTGTGAGACAGTGACAGGTCTGTGTAAAGAAATACAGGCTTTCACCACAGATCGCTTGACTTGAGAGAACAAAATTAGCAGGAAGCAGCACACATACCACATATCCCACAATTTAGTGACAAAGTTCCAGATTCACTGGGCAAACTCCATTTTTACAGGTGAGTTTTGTAAAGAAATACTTTCAGGATTCCTGGATTTTTGAAGCAGTTGAGGGAAGAAAGTTTTCTCTCTTGCTGCTTGCATGTTTACCTGTTGCTACTTGTGTGTTTACCTGCGTTCCAAATAACTTCATATTCCTATCTTTTGCTAGTTTTTAAAAAATGTATTAAAACAAATATTCACATGCTGTGCATAAGGTGTCTCGACCTAGATATTCAGACTGCTATCTCCTTTCTGGGATACAGCATTGTGTAAGCTAACATACAAGCACAGCCTTCTGGCATGATGACAATAATATCTGTGTGTCTTACTTACTAAAAAAAATAAAAGCAGAAGTTAAAAAAAAATAATTATACTAAATATCAATTCGTAAAGTCTTAAGGAGCTTGTGAGTTAAGCCAAGAAACATTTCACTGCAGCATATCTCTGCCTTACTAGAAAATAGGCCTGATGGACTGAAAGGCAGTATTTTGGAGTTGTGACCAACCCCTCTACTCTGCTTGTAACACTAAATATTTCATTCTGTGCAGCTCTGGGTTTGAGTAAATCATAGTTGTATTTCTTAAGGGAAACGTACTTTTCCTAATTGCACATTGTAACCTTTATACTTTCCTTCAGTTGGAAGGAAAGCTGTTCAAGATAAAATCCATTTTTGTTTCTTCCTTAAAGGAGTAAAGCAGGAGAATAAGCCCTGATTTTTCTGTATCTGGTCTGCCCAACTCTGTTTTTCCTTTGGTTAGCTCATTGATTCTCCTAGACCACAGATTTTTAAGACCCAAACACAGAGCAGCTTCAATCAGAATTTTTACTTAAATATTTAATCTCTTATTAAACTTGACAAGTTTGCCAGAGCAAGGCCACAAGCAAGAGAAGCAAATCTAGCAAGAGTTAAAATTATATATATCTGTTACATCTGAGTGAAAGGCAAAATTCCTTTGGTATGCAGTACTTAAAAATACTGCCAATCAGCTAAGGGCATTTTTTCAGATCTACTTGCAACATAGCAAAGAGTTTCTTATAAATAAGAAAGTGAGGCCAAATACCTGTATCTGTTTTGATCTGTGGATGATTTACAGGACTTCTTCCTCTTTGTTCTCCATGAAGATAACATGCTTATAACAGTAATAATCACTTATTTTACCAGGTACAAAGCTAATGTTCATTGTACGAGTGGAGATTCCTATGTTAAATACAGCTTGTTCCTGGGCAAGCAACCTCAGTAATGCTGGCATGTATTCAGCCTTCTGGAAATAATATTTTGAGTCCTGGCTGATGTTAAACTAAGTAAGATGGACAGATAAACCTTCATCTCACTTCATGGCCTTGTCTGAAATATGCCTGCTTTACCCAGAGATTTAAATGATACGAAATTTGGGCTAGGAAAATGTAAATACCTTATGACTAAACAGAAGTAGTTTTATCTGAATTAGAAAAAGAAGAAAAGAAGAAAAGAGGAGACTAGCTGAGACTTTCACTTTATTTAGATGGAGAAAGTCCATCTACCCATCTGTATTTCAGGAAATACCCATGGAGAACTAGAAAGGAGAAAGCAAAATAAGGGAGTCTTCCTGACAGTCTGATACAAAGCTTTAAGAAACATGGGCTGAGTCACACAGATTGTTTGAGAATTGTGAGGTATTCACCACTGGTACAAAAGTATCATTAGGAATAACACGACACATTCAGGTCTTTGTTATGTTTCTTAGAGTTTGATCATCTCCTGTGTCAGATAGAGGCAGAAATGAGAAGCCAGTGATGTGTGTGTGTTCCCTCACTGCCCCAAAATAAATGGCTATCACTTAATGCTCTCAGACTACATTTGTTCTTACCTGGATCCCTGTCTTCAAAGTTTCCCTGTTAATTCTGCATGATACCTCATCTACCAACAGAATAGATTGCTATCTGTTCTCCATTCATTTTGATACTCATGCCATCAGCTTACTAAGAAAGAAATCCCTAAAGAGTTATATTGATTTACTTAATCACATTGAAAAGAATATCTCCTTTAGTCCTATGAAAAATAAAACTGTTGTGGAAAAGAGTGCTACATTTCTGTCAGATAGTGAAAGCTGCTCTGACACACTTGTGCAGTTTTTAAATGCAAAATTTGCTGCAGGGCTATAGAAATATATATTAGATCCACAGTAAAATTTGAGAGGGTTGTGTGAGTGGGTGTTTCATCTTTCTTTTTTAATCTTTGTGATTTGTATGTGTAAACATTACAAGAAACATTAATTGCTAGTAAGAGGCTGACATTAATTACAATAGCTGTGCTGAAGACACTGGACTTTGGCTGATGTGCACCAGGCAGAATCTAACTTTCAGAAGCTTTCCACTCAGCGAGGATCTTTTTATTTCTGTCATACTTCTGTGCATTTCATCATACCACATCCACGAGGATGTATCCTTTCAAAAGCTGTCAGCACTTTCTGAACACTTGCTGTTTATTCTTTCAAAAGTTGCAAGGAAGAGGAGGAAAAATAATGCAAGCTGATTTATAGGCTTATTTCCCCCCCAGAAGACATCTATTTACCCTATATCAGAGCACTGTTAGTTTTCTAACGTATTCAGGATTCAGGATTATGCATTAAAAAAATCATTTTCTATTTCACAGAATAATCACATAAGGTATTCTATTTCTGTTCTAAGTAGTCTAACAGAACATGGTGAATTTGGTGCTAGAAAAGTCACAACTTCTTTAAAGATTTAGGTTCTTACCTCTTTGGGGCAAAATGTTCACGTTCTCCATGTTCTTCATGTTCTTCAGTGTTTATGTTCATGTGCCCTGTTTGTACTCACGTAGGAGTTCCAGGCAGGAGGAGAATGTTCCTGAGCCAGAGTAGGGAACAGAAGAAGCCAGAAGTGGACTTCGCCTGAAACCTGTTGTAAAAAAAACCTGTGCTTTGACTGTTATGGCTATTAATTAGTACATCTACTGCGGTGTACTAAAGTGGCTTGGCTTGAAAACATCATCGTTTGTAGACACCTTTTGTTTTAATTTGATTTGTTTTAATCACCTGATTAAAAAAAAAAATACTTTATGCCTCATTGTCCATGTGCTAAGGTTAATATTCAGCTGATACAGTTTTTCCATTGTGAATAATGAAGCTCATGGAAAAATTTTTTGCAGGTACCCGTTGAAGTATTCTTGCTTCATTACTTACAAAATATTATCAGCTACAATAAAATTCAGGTAGTTTTCTCAAGAAGACACATTTATAATACAAAGTGCTTTATAATATATCAATGGAGAACTTTTATTAAATGTTTTAAATTTTCTTGCTCCATGACTTCATCTGCTTTTTATTTAATTAGGATTAAAATGCTATAAGTAGGTTTAAGTGTTTATAACATAGGTCCCTGAAGTTTTCCAATCAGTCTGGGGTCCTGCAATACATACCACACAACATCTTTGCATATGTAGGGCAATTTAGAGCTGTAGAGTAAAATACTGTAGTTTTAAGAGTGCCATGAATAGCTTTTACTGTGCATCCCTGAGAGACACAATTATATACTACTGTCTACTGTCTGTAGCCACAAGGCTGTGCTCTCACTTGCACTTTTGCTAGACCTATGCTCACCTGCATGGTCACAAGCAAAGTTCTGCTTAAACTCTGAAGAAGTCAATGAATACAATTAAATTACATTCTAAAAATTAAAAAAAATCTCACTCTGTTCTTGGGTTGTACATGATTACTTCTGTTTATGGCATAAAGAATTTTTAAAGACTAGAAAACTTGTCTTCTCTTGCTGCACTACCACTGCTTCAACAGCAGGTATTAGCCATCACAAGGTAACTTCAATACATCAGGATTTAATTTAAATGTAAGTAGTCAAATGAAACCCAGCAATGAGGCGATGACCCATAGTGATAAAAAAGATAATTAGAATTACCGCTTTTCTGGCATGAGAAGAGCCATGCAGTGACATATATCAGATACTTGGGAATATGTCTAGGCATTTCCATTAATTTTGCCTTAATTTTCAATTTGAATTCAGAAAAACTCAGCTATGAATGTTTCTGTAGAAATTAAATGCCTATGCTACCTAACCTGTCATGTTGGATTCCTTTATAGGGTACAGTTATATTCTGCATTTATATCAGTGAGCACTGGAAAATGAAGTGTAAGCACAGAGAAGAAATGCCATTGTCAACACTCTAAAGACTATTTCTGAACAACTCCTTGGCAGTACAGGTTTTACATGGTGCACCCTCACACTGCTTCTCTGAACTATTTTCCACCTCTGTGTGATGCTTACATTTGCATTTGTGCTGTTATGGCTTGAACTGGACTGAAGACCTGATTCAGATCCAGAGTAAATATGAACATCCGCCGTTTGTCTTATGTATTATTAAATATTAAACCACACTCTCACATAAGTAATAAATTGGGACTATGTGATCAAAATGTGTTATATTATAAGCATAAATTCCAGCAAGAGTTAAAAACATGCATGTCCTTTGCTTACCCATATATCCTCCATATCATCCTGTAATTTGTGCCTGAAAGTGTGGTGAAAGTTCTGGCTGACATAGGTCATGCAGCAGGAGTAATGTCCTGGCTGAGAGAGGCAGATATTCCCTTTAATTTTCCCTCTGGATTTGATTTTTGATAACATGAGCTTCTGAATGAATGGTTAGTCCTAGCTCTTTCCAGGGCCTGGTTCATTTCCAGTTGAACATATTATGCAGGGTAGGAAATTTAAGGGCTAAATCTTGGCAACAGCTCAGTCCTAATAGTCTGGATTTCAGTGCCTTAAGGAAAGGATGTGGCTTAAAAAATAGCTCTGGAAACAAGCAATTTTCCTTCTGAGAATAGCTCACAATATTTACTGGGGCCCAGTGCTTAAATTCTCACACATTTGCAGCATCTGGCTTTAATCAGCTGGTGGAACAGTTGATCCAAAGACATCACGACTTGTGGTTCCTGGGCCATAATGACTTAAATCCTTATTATGAACAAGAGCACAATCTGGTTTTCATTAAATTCTTTGTAATGAGGATGGGAGAGTTGGTGGACCTAAGCAGGCAGTTCCTGTTTCACAAATCAGACACCCTGTGACACTGCCCTTCTGCTGCTCTGCTTGGTGGCTCAGAAGAGCAGAGTACAGAGGTGGGTGTCCTCAGCCATCCTACAAGCCTTTGGAGCATCTTTGAAGCCATTCACATTCTCATTGCATCAGGAACAACTGCTTCCTCACAGCATGTCTCCTGTATCTAAACATGACACCTGGTTCTGCCAGTACCCACCCTAAATCAGGGTTTCTGGAGGATGGAAAGGCCCTGTATTTCACCACGTTTGCCTCATGACATTATTTGAGGCCAAATTATAGAAGCAGGGTAAGCTCATAAAGATATTTTGGGGAAAGTGCTGTGCCTGTAGCATGCTCATGCTGGTCAGAAGGTAGGGGCCAAGGGACAGCTGTCCCTAGGTATGCAAAACATACATCTCTTGTTTGAAAAGTCTTATTGTGATTTTTCTGACATCAATGTCATGAAACCTTCAAATATTATTGCATATAATTAATAGTAAACTTAGATTCTAAGATTACCATTCAGCTTCCTGAAATGCCATAAGTGTTATCCGAGGAAATATTTCCAATGGAGTAAAACTAACTGGTGAAATCTACCAACAATAAAAATTTAACTACTTTCAACAGGAAAACTTAAACTACTAGTCTGGGCTCATGTTATAATATATGGATGTATTCTTAAAGAACAAAGAAGATTGTTTCTCCTTTAAGCATGCATATTTTTTTTTTCCTCTAATACGCTGTTAGAGTCTTTGCAGAGTATTTTTATTTAATTCATACATAACATTAATTTTTCAAAAATTTTTCAAGCTTACCATCAAAATGTTCTTTTTCTTTTAAATTGCTTTCATCACTTCTTAGATTAAAACATTGCAAAGACTTCACAATAATATTTTTTCTGGCTTTATGGAACTTTCCTATGCAATTATCTATTTCCTTAATAAATGAGGTTTTTGTTCGTAGCATATTTGTACCTCAGCCAGGTCTCACGGCTCCCATTGTTCTTCAAACTAAGGATGCTTACAACAAATAATAAAATTCCCTTTGCCCTTCCCACAAAGAAAAAGCCAAACAATTCTGGGACACAGGTCACCTCCTACATCCACAGGAGATACTACATGACTAGAGGACTCAAAAGTTTAGGACGAATACATCAGAGAGCATTCATGATTTTAAATCAAGCCAGTAACCTCACATTAGTGTTCCTTATGTACTGCCATAGTATCCATGCAGGCCTGGGCAGCCAGAAATGTGCTGTTAGGGATTCCCCACATCCCCAGAGGTTACTGTCCCCTCAACATGCCTATTACCTCACAGACTCCTGCCAGCCAGGAGCTGCTGTGCTGTAGGTCCACCCTACAGGCTCCTATGGGATCAGAACTAATTTAAACATTAGTTTAGAGCAGCCCTGTATTTTTGCCATTTCTGCCGAGGCAAATGGAGAGGTTTAGGACCAGGGAATGGGAGCTGCCTTTTTGTCTCTTATTTAGCTGTACCCAGCACAGGCCAGGCACTTCAGGTCAATGATGAAGCACACAAGGTAATCTGAGTTGAAGTCAAACAAACCTCTCTAAAAGCTTTTCATTATAGTTTGCTCTCTACTCATACCAATGCTAGCAGTACTTTCCAGTCTTGCTGTAAAGCTGTCTTAGTCAAAGGGCTGACCAGAGTGGAAGAGGAAAGCAAATCACTTAGAAGACAGAGATCAAATCTTAAGACTTTTTTCCCTCAGACTGCCAAATGCAGCGATAAATTAAAAAAAAAAAAAAAAAAAAAAAAAAAGCTTCCAAAATGGAACAGATTTGGTTTGTAAGCTATAATAGGCCTATGTATTTTGTTGACCAACATATTCCTGTTATGCCAACCAGAAATAAGTTACAGAATAATGCTAAAACAGAATTTTGGTGCAATTAGTCAATCACTTTAAAACACAACTGGCTTAACTGAAAAAAACAAACAGCGACACCATCTGTAGTCACCCTGAGATTGAAGGAATTTTAGCAAAATGCTTCTATTGGCAGAAAATATTAAAAATTATCTCTTCTTACTGTGTTTGTTACAGGTATCTTATATATAGATCAATTCATATATGCCATTGGACTGTTGTGTATCTATATCTAAATAATAGTATCATCCATATCTCTATCTAAATATCTATATAATCTAATATATATCTATCTATATATATAGCTATACATATACAGCTATAGCTATCTCCCATATTTCTATAGTATAGAGAAGTGCTATATATTTGTGTTAGAATTTACTCATTACTAGCTTTGGCACATATTGACATGCTGCATAAATGGGATACTGTGATAGATTGGTATTTAAGAAAACAAAGAGAAACACCTAAGGAAGTTAAAACTGCTGGAGGCTGATGGGAGTTTGTCTCCTAGGCAACAGCTGGCCATTTCTAAGAATTGACAGCAGTTTTGACCATTGAAAAGTGAGATCAACCTGTGAACACCACCTTAAGACCTAAGCCTGGGAATTTGTCTCTTTGTTTCCTGGCTGTGAAAGGTAACAGAGCTCCAGCTGGCTCCCGTCCCCTGGCCAGGCCATGCGGCCCGGGCAGGGGCTGGGCTGGGCCCAGCGGCTCCCGGCCGGGAGATGGGGCCTGCGGGGCTTGCCCCGGGCTCTGGCCGGGCCAGGCCGGTCCCTGGCTCGGCTGCAGTTTCTGCTGTGACTGAATTCACCAGAGACTGCCGAGTAAAGAGAGGAAAAGCTCTTGACCTGCGGCAGGCTGAGACAGTGACCACACTCTCCAGAGCAGCCATGAAGAATCTTCCACCGCAGACAACTCCAGCTGCTGCTCTGGCAGAGATCACAGAACCATCTACAAAGCCTGGGAAAGATTTTAACTCTTTAAACTTTAACTTTAATCTTTAACTCAGATGAGACTTGCAGATTAATCCTTTTTTTCCAGAGAGAGCAAGAGGAAGAGAGGGAGCAATCAACATGTAAAGAGACACCAGAAACTATCAAAAACAGTCAAGAAAGGAATTAAGTTTTAAATGGGGAAGAGAAAATAAGAAGATGCTTTAGTAAGCTTAAGAAATACTTAAGAAAGTTTTTCTGTTAATACTATGGAGATGAACAGTAGAGTTCTGAAAAAACTCCTTTAAATCATGACAGAGTATATTGGGAGGAATGGAGTGTTTCAAAGTGTGGATTTTGAGCAAAAAGTGAAGTGGTTGTGGTACAGTGAGGTGCTGGAGCAGAGGGGGAGAAGTAATAGTTGAAGATTTGTAGCTTTGTACAGGCAAAGAGAAAAATTGTTTCCAGGGAGGCTCATAGAGACAGATGAAAAGAACTTTTGCCTTTGAATCCTTAAAAATGACATCCCTAGACTCATTTGACCCATAACACACCTCAGAGTGATGTGAAATGGGAGGAGTGAACTGATGACAGAGTTTTCCGGGCAGCTGGCATCAAAGAAATAGAAAGCTATAACAGAAATAGTTTTCTTGTGAGAAACTCCATAAATTAGCAGGAGAAAACTTCTGTTTCTCTACAAAGACTGATGAAAAGACTATAGCAAGAATTAGGACTGTTTTAAACACCAAAGTTTTTTTGTCTCTATGTTGTCATGTGAACTAGGGAATGGTTGAGTAGTGGGGGATAAAGGAGTTTTCTAGAAGTTTTATTCTGGTTTCTTATTCTTGTAGTTTTTATTAATAAACTTTCTTTGTTCCTTTTAAGATTTAAGCTTGTTTTGCTCTTGTTGTAATCCATCTCTCACAGCAAAAAATAAGCAAGTTTTCTAGTGTTTTTTTTAGTTGCTGCTTTAAAACCATGACAGATACAAACAAGAGCTCAGCATACAAACCATATGATCAGAAAATGGATAATACATTAAACCTGAGGTTTAGTAGTGTGTCTTCTGCATGTTAAGAATAATTAGAAAATTGTTAACATGTTACTGTTTGTAAACCCCTTACTTACCTTGTACCCCTGTCCCAGGTTTACTTACCTTGTACCCCTGTCCCAAATTGCTGTACCCTGTGTTTCTCGTTCCTTGTTCAGCCAGGGCCTGCCCCCACTGCTCCTAGACTCCCACATGCCAACATTGTACCCCTGCCCCAAGCTGCTGTACCTTGTTCAGCCCTGAGGAGGAGGATGACATAAGGACTTTTATGTAAACGAGAGAAAGCAGAGGCTCATGGGACGCACACAGACTGGAAAAACCCCGAGACAAGGAGCCACACGAAAAGGAAGGAATAAAAACAGTACCATCAAAGGAGGAGGACCCAGAGGAGTCCCCTGGCTTCCCTCCAGAGGCCAACATAACCAGAGGGGACTCGACTAGGATGACACCCTAGACTACGAGGCCAAGAAAAAGAGTCTTTCTGGGGACTGCCTAGGAAGGAGGGCCCAGCTCTGCCCTAGTGACAAAGCTGCACGGATCCTTCGCTTCTGCGGTGTCCAGTGGGAGCAGTGGCGGTGTGCGTGACCCTTTGGGCCCCCACCCCAGAGCTGTACTGTTCAAAAAAGGCTTTTTTAAAAAGGAGCTGGTCTCCTGGCCCATCACATGTATGGCTGAAACACTTAGCAGTGTGGGTTTTCTTAGCCCACATTCAGAGGATAGTTAACTTAAGTGACTGGAAACAAAAAGTGTAGAAGTGAACTCTGACTGTAGCAGCACAATGTGGAAATGAAAGTAAATGTTGAAATCTTTCCCTTTTCAAATATTTTCTTTTTCTAATTGCAGTTGAACTTTTGATAAAGCTAAAAAGGAACAATAATTACTGAAAATACTAATTTGAATTTATTTCAGCTATGAATGAATGGCACAAAGACCTTTTCTTTCCTCTTTTGTAGGTCACAAAATGAAGAGGAGACTATGGCGTTTAAACCAAGTTAAAATAGTAGTGCTAATTTTAACCTTGGTAGATGAAATAATGATCCTGCTATAAGAAAACTACAGCATTATTCTAGTTCTAGTTTTCCCATGGGCCTGGGTATCTCAGCCAACAAGTGGAATTGTGGCTGGAGGGGGTGTGTGATGTCAGCATCACGGGTGTAAGTCAGGGAACGGAGCCTGAGCTCTCACCACCCATGGCAAGGCATGAGCCACAGCAGGGTGTAACAGGGCTGAGACCTAGCCATACTAACAGGGAGCTGCATAACACCCCCACATAGGATCCTTTAGGTCACATATGGATGGAGTTGTGCTTGTTTTAATAGCAGCCATGAAAAATTGTTTGCCTTGGTAACTGGGTTTGCAAAAAGGCTTTTTTTACACTGTAATTTATACTTACATAGAGAGTGTAAGTTAGAAAATTCTCCAGAAAAGATACATGAAGTGGAAATATCCAAATATTTTGAAGCATCCCACAGGGTTTGTGGGGTTCCTGTATGCATTAACAGTCATAGAAGCATGAAATAGCAAACACCTTAAGCATTTGAAATAAGATATTCTTGCCACTGCATGAAAAAAACCAGACAAACTCATCTAGAGACTTTGTCATCTTCAAGAAGTCAGCTGATTGTCAAGAGACCAATGACTCAGATATCTCCTTAATATTGCTAGATGACCTGTCAAGGTTTACTGAAATTCCAATTACCAGAAGTCATTCAAGCACTCTCTAATAATAATTATATCCTCTGCTACCTAGTAGATGGTACTGAGCAGGAAATTGGAGGGAAAATATAAATCTATATTACATTCTAATGACTTAAAATTTAGTGAACAATCCAAGGAAAAAAGGACTATTTCCAAATGATTGCCCCTGAACGTCATGAATAAAGATAAATATTAAGTATCTTCATTGATGCACAAGGAATAAAAACACAGCTGAAAAACAATTACCTATTCTATGTCTTAATAACCATGTAGGTTCAGATATTTCTCATTACCATGGTTTGAGAAGGCATAGGATTTTTCTTCCTCCTAAGTCATTATGGCCTCATTCCAACATTTTAATGTTTAAATGAATCTTTATCTTTCTGTTCAAGAGATCCAGCTAGTTAATGGTTGAACAGCAATTCTAGTAAATGTGTTGAACGAAGCAGATGGCCATCATCATAATTTAAAATAATTCCATAAATGCTTTATCACCATTGTGTAATATTGTAGCTGTAGAGTATGTTTTGGCGAAGCTTGCACTACCATAGTTACCCTGGCCTCCAAACAAGAAGCTCATTAGTAAAATTGCTTAAGTATTTTATCTGGCAGTTAACATATGCAATCCAAGAGTGGTCATCATTGACTCATTACAATAACAAATATGATAGGATAAATCTGAAGAGACAGGGAGATTTATGGGGTCAATATGTGTGGATAAAAGAGCATGGGATGAATCCAAATTCATTAGCTCCTACAAGTCTGTGGAAAGAAGGAAGATCCTGGATGGCAAGTGTTGCAACCCAGCAGCATCCAGCACCAGCATCCATTTGGAGAGCTACAGAGCTTTTCAGAAGGGTAAATTGAAATTTTAGCAGGAATCTTGTGGTTGTATACTCATAGAGATAGTAGATACAAGACAGACAAACTCATCAGGTAATGTGACCAGCCTAAGACTGTGTGTCCTAGAACACCCCCACCTGCACTGACTAGTGGGAACAGTCTCTCACCTGTTCCTCATCCAGAATATGAAGAAAAATGCACAGTTGGAGGCCAGAGCTTGAGCCCTCGACCAGGCTCTGTTCGATCTGAAAACTACTGCATCCTATCTAATTATCTCACCAGCGCATCTGTGCTGACACAAGTTGTTTTAGCACACACTTGGGGAATTTACGTCAACAGTTCCGAGTGGCATTTACATTTCCACAATGTCACTTAGAGAGGTGATGTGAAACATATCATATACTACTGATAAATACTGACAAATACTGATATTTATCAGGATGTCTTTTAGAGTTTCTTAAAAACAAAGGGTGTTTATTCCGTGTTGTTTATGAGCTCAGTGTCAAATAGCTCATACCAAAATTTCCCAAATATACAATTTCCTTTATCAGGTCTTACTAGTTTAAGACAAACATAACTAGTGAAGTACAAAACTTAAAATTGGTTACCCATTAATAATTTCTTGAGTATGAGAGTGCTTAGTAAGTGCCCCTGCCTTTGCACAATGAGGGCAGCACATCAGCTCCTGGGAGCATGTGGGCCACCAACGCTCCTGATTTCCTGAGGGTCGCTATTTCAAGGTGCTGGAGCTGCTTTGACTTCTACCTTGGCTGTCAAAAGACACCTCAGGCCTCTCTGTGGTGCTATGCTCTCTTATGCTACTATTGCAGAGACTGCATGTTTCCCCCTTTTCTATTTGTCTCTCTTCTCTATGTGGAAAGAAAGTTTTGCTTTCGTTATCACCAGGGCCTGCGACACATTTGCCTATCACAATCTCTTTAGAAAGCTGTGTCATACTTAAGTAATAATAAGAACATTTCTCAGTTTTCTTTCATATCACTAAGTACTCAGTGGAACTCCTATTAGGTGGCAATGGTGCTGGCAAATTATAAATTTTTGACACAAAAGAGAAAAAGGAAAAATTGGGACACAGGATCACATACTCATTCTCAGCAGCAGTTTGGGAAATCACAATCAGCTTTCCCCATACTATTGGAAAAGCAGGTTTGGTTTGTTTTCTTTTTTCAACTGATTGGCATGTTGTGCTGGGACTTCATGCAGACAGAGCTGCTTGCATAATTGTCTCTAAGAGATTACACTCCCAAACTTCACAAGACTTTTGAATCAATAAATCTAAAGATTTTTCACAAGTCATTCTAGAATAACTAACTCCTTAAACAGAAAAAACCAAATCAACCAGGGCTAAATAGATGAAAATGACAGGATTTGTTGCAGAGAAAATTCCCTTCCTTCAGAGCCACTGTTAGTTCAGAAATATCTGTGCAGTTCCCTATGGACCCCTTGAGATCTCTCCTTTCCATCTTGGCTGGCACTTGACAATGCAACTGCTCTGTGTCTTGCTGGGAACTCTTCCTGGCCTGTGACCAAGTGTCTGAGAAGTGGCTCAGGGGAACCTCTTGCTCTCTGCCTGCCCTACCCAGCAGCCAGAGAAAACACTGAGAGCAAACGTGATCTTTTCCCCACCACAAATGCAATCCTTTGGCTTTGTATCACTTTTTATTTGCCAGAGGCTCCAGAAAATGTATTAAAAAACTAAACAAATCTTACCCAGGTTTGTATCCAATCTGTAATCATGTAATTGCATCAGAAAACAAGCAAGAATTAAATTCCTTGGCAGGTTTCTTTCTGGTTTCTTTCTTGGTTTAACCTCTCAGCTACAAGGATAAATGTTTCTTACTCAGCTAATATTGCTTACTTAGCTAATATTGACTTCCTTCAAAGGCATGAAATTTATTTATGTCAGTGCCCAAGGACTAAAGTTTGGTTCTCCATTTGAATAAATGGTTTTAGCAAGTACAATGGTAGATAAATCACTGTATATTGTGGTGCTTCTGGGCACCATTTTATCTTGCATTTTATCTTGCATTTTATGCTACAGCATGAACAACTTCTGGTACTGATTTTGTTGATTCTGAGTTTGAACACAGCTCAGTTTGTACACAGCTTTCTCCCCCAGGTCTCTTTTCCTTCCCATTTTGCCTTCTCTCTCATGTCCAAATGGCTGAGCCACTATCTGTCCCTATAAACATCAGACCAGATGAAGCCAAATTCCCTGCCTTGCCAGGTTTAATTACTTTGTCAAAGGCAAATTCTGGATCTTTCTGAATGTTCTGCCTCAAATCCTGTAATAATGTGTTCCCTTAGTCAGAAACTCTCCTCAAATATTCTTTTGGTACTCCCTCAATATCAATAAGAATACATTTGAGAAGTTTCTTTGTTTTTTTTTGTTCTTTTTTCCAAAGTAAAAAAATAATTGCAACACTTGACTCAGTTTTGTCGAAGTTCTCTATTCACATAACAGCTCAATGGCCTATAAATTGTGCCCATTTATAAGGGGAGTTTTAGACTGATGACTGGAATCAAAGTTATCAGATTGCTATAGGAAAATTGGTTCATGAAAATTTCCTCTTAACATCTTAGTCTGCTGTTATGCAACAATTTCTGTCTTCCCTTAAGATGAATCAAGTTTAAAGAGTCTTTTTGTTGGACAGCAGTTATGGTCAATTTTAACTCCCTTAATTTATGATTGCCTCTTGGTTAAAGATTTCTGGGTACGAGGTCCAGAATTTATTAAAGAAGTTATAAATGCTGACCTTGATCTACCCTTGCCTCTGGTGGTTCTCCTATCTGCTTCCCTGCCTAGGGGCAAGGATGCTAATGTTGAAAATGTATTAAAATATGCTTCCACAAAGATTCTTGCTAATTGGCCAGATTTTTCCAAGATCAATAGCAAGCACATTGGGCTAAGCTCTAAGTGCTTGACCTATGAATGATAAAAAAATTCCAACAACCAAAACTGACAGGTTATTAAAATCTGGTCCTAGAATCCCAGAATATTTCTCCTAATTGCTAGTTTATTCTGCCCAAAACTTGAATCCATACATTTCATGTCTCCTACTGTATCCTGTGGCACCATATTATAGCCTCTGGGATTAGCTCATATTTTAGTCAAAGTTTGTTTTATTTGGTTTTCTGGCTTGCTTTGATGTTTCCTTCAATTTGTGGAAGCCTCACATATAAAATGAATCAAGGCAAACTAGAGAGGAAATGCATTAATCTAGAACCTCTCCCTATGTTTTCCATCCTTTGTTTCACATAGTACGCTTTCACTCTTCCTCTCTGAAAAACATGGTTCTGTTAACAGAAAAAAAATAAATTTTGTTTTGAGCTTGTTTTCTCCTTTGTGTTTCACTGTAAACAGCAGCTTAAAAGCTCTTGTCTTTCAGTCCTCCACTTCAGCCACAAGTAAGAACAGTAACATTCCACCCAGAAAAGTCAAACCTGAAACTGTATCTTTGCTTGGGGGGAACATCCAGAATAGGATTGTTCTCAAC